AGCATGCGTGATAAGATGTCAACCATTTATCCATGATGCCATCACTTACATATCTTTCATGCCCAATCCCCATGTTTTTTCAGGCCTGCAGCTAAAACACTGAGATCCAGTGTGGGCTTAGTTACCTGTTTCCAGTACAAATATAGAAAGAATAACTTTATTAGTATCTTTCCTTCAGAGGATGATCACCTCCCTTTCTTACTCTTCTGTTTGAAATTATGCTGTTGTCTTAAGGGTTTATGTGTGTGTGTGTACGAGTGCATGCTCGTATATAACCGTGACATTCAACTTTCTTTTGTGATTGTGTTTCTCCAAACAACCTGTAAAGTCTTCTTCACCTGTGAGTTAATAAAGTCCATGCACAGATTTTGTTAGTCTTTAAAACTGTAGTTTTCTCTCCCATCCCTCCCCCTTTTTGCCTGGAGAGTGGATCAGAAGTTGAGCAAATGTGTGGCTACAGGAAGCTTCTTAAGATGTACTCCTAAACCTCCCACAGCAAACAGGGCTTGAACCTCACTGCATCCTTTCAACTCACCAGAAAACTACAGATCAAAACAAAATGTCAGAGATTTTTTTTAAAACTTCAGAACTTCCTTGCTTTTTGGCTGCTTGTTAATTTTTCCTTGTTAGGTGTCCAGTTCAATGACCTGCCAAATTGTGGTATCAATGACACAGCCAAATGAATACTAATGAATTATGATCATTTTCCACATCATGAGTCTGACAAAGGAGACAACTGCAGATTACTTTTGATATCTTGGTAGTTATGTTTTTCGAAACAGCACGTTTTTTCCCTGGATTTAGGATTAGTAAGAGCAGTCTGTTTACAAGCACTTGAATTTGGAGAATTCCTGCAGAAATGGTCAATGTACAAATAATTAGCCAGAATAATCAACTGTCAAAGAACAACGGTAGATTTCACTTCCCTTATTCATTCCTACTCCATACTTCAGAGGCTGCACTATTGACTTTGTAGCGTGTAATTTGCTTCCACCTGTTATTAATGATCTGTAACTTTTAGAGGTACCTACAAGACAGATAGCTCCAACCATCATTTGGGGGAATAGAGACCAGTCCCTAGTGCTAGAGCACTTTTGTATCAATAACCTGATAGGACCAGATGCTTTACTTTTCCAGGTCTTTGCCTTCAAAAAGTTAGGACAACTATCTTTTAACTATTGTTATCAATAATAACAATTGATATATTATTAACCAGTTATTTTTTAGTCCAATTTTTAAAGAGGTAACCTTTAAAGAGGTAATTTTTTTAAAGAGGTTCACAGCAAGACGAATGAGTGGAAAATGCAAAAGATGACTTTGTGGGAAGCTGGCATGAAAACCAGAGATGAGAGCAGGAAGGTGACAAATGCATTTACTGGGACAGGATGAGTAAAGTGAGAGTAGTCTCTGGTGATGGCATGACTATGGAAAAGTTCCCAGCTATAAATATAGCTAAAAGAGCTATGCACAATGCTTGGCTAATTCATCCCATGCCACATCCTTCGTTCATGGTATTAATTTGAACCTGTCTGTCAATTTTTATCTTTGGCTGCTATACCTTTTTCAAACCAACATGAATGCTTCATGCCTAACATAATTTCTACAGTTGTTATTCTGTCCTCTGAACTAATTTGATTTTTTTAATACAGAGCCCCACGTATTATACAGATGGTACAGTCCTCATTCACTGAAGTACCTCTTTGAAAAAATAGTTCAGGACCAATCCAGCTTAGCTGATTTACTGGGGATTTTCCTGGCACAGTAGGATCCTTAGAAGTCATGAGGATGGACATTTGCTCCTTCTGGCTGCTGCTTGGTTGTGGCAGGAAGACATGCATGGTTGGAGCACAAGTGCACCCAAGAGGTGGTCCTGACGACAGATGCACAGTTATTGGAGAAACCTCATGTTGGGTGCGTCTGGGGGTTATCTCTGAATTTGAGGGGGAGGAGTATTGCATCAGAATATGGATTAGAATAACCCTAAATCTGCACTTGTCAGGGCTTGTGGTAGAGTCTTGGCCTAGTGGCTAAAGAGTAGGTCTTCTTTTTCCCATACAGATAGAGAGCAATTAATAACATGCTGTCATATCTTACTTGCCCTCTCCTCTCTATAACCTGAATAATTTTCCCTGATTGTTCATATTCCTAACTGATTCTGGGGAAAAGCTAGACGAGCTTTCCTTTGGGGTGAAATACTTTAGACCTTTTTAGTTTAAATCCTTTCTTGAGTCTGTTCAGGCGGCACCAAACGTCTGGTTTAGTGTTTCTGTATGTGTCAGACATGGATGTGTTTTTTTACACATGTGGTTATTTATGCTTACATGTGTTTTGTACCTTTAAAGTACTTTTCTTTTTTTAACTTTGTCCTTTTTTTACTTCTTTCCCCTCACTAGTGTAATAACACCACTTCCTAAACCTTGTCCCTTTCCTAGATACTGACCACATCGTCTCTGGGTGCTACTCCACTAATAAAACAAAAAAAGGAATGCGTATTATGGGATCCTTTATAGACCTGCATGGAACTCATCTGGCTCAGCTGGCAGGGGTCATGTAAACCTTCTCCATCCGCTACAGTTTGTGTGGTTCCACACCCAACAAATGTCAAAGCAGAATTCAACTGCAACTGCCAAGTTTTGTCCGTGTTTGGGTTAAGCCATAAAAGAACCCACCAAATTCCACATCAGTAATTTCAGAGTTTCAAGAAACCACCCAAGTTCGGTGAGGAGGTCAAAAATCTGGTGAACATTTTGGCAAATATGGCCAGAACAGTGGCTCAAGAAAACCCTGTCTTTTTCAGACTTTGTGTAGTCTGACCAACTTGATAGCTGGTCTATCCTGATGCTGAACAATTTTTTTGTTTCCTGTAGCCCATATTCTGTATAGAAACATTCAGAATGAAAGTACAGGCACAATGTGTAGTCCTTCTTAGGCATGTGGACTGTACTCACTTGCAAAGTTTCTGAGGATGAAAGGAGTCTCTCAGTGATGAAGAGGATTTATACTTATGAGTACAAGGATGGAGCTGATCAGGTATCACAAGATTCCTAGCTTGAAGAGGAAAGCAGAAGAGGTGAAAGCCTTTTCACCTGGAAGCTTAGTGATGACACAGACTCTGGTACAGCCCTCCAAAGTCTCTCTCCAAGGTCATAAGTGATCACACAGAAGTTAAAAGGACTTACTTGTCTAAAGGCATGTCTGAAAGTTTTGGCAGGTCAAGTCGACATAGTATGAAGAAATGCAATGGTAGCATGCTTGTCAGTTCAATATTTTCTGGCAGCAACATAATTGTGGACATCAGCTTAAGACAAAAAGCATAAGACCAACCAAGGAGGACCAGACCTGTGCTTCTAATAGTCAAGATAAGTGACTAGATGTTTTTCTGGTTCATTTAAAGTTCAAGGTAAAAGTCAAATGTTAGCGTATTTTCTGTATTTGGTGTCTTAAGGATGTTTAATGCCTCCCACTTACACTCTTTTTAGGGAAAAAGGTTAGGCAAGAGGTATTATCTAAACAGAATCAGAAATGTCTTAGGACAAATGTGGGAAGAGACACTGATGAGATGATTCCTCACCACCAGCTTTTCATCATCAAAACCAAATTCTACCAAACTTTTTTCTGAAGTTCAAAAAGTTCGGACTTTTTTTTGCCATTATTTTGCTTTACTGGGTCTTTTTATTATTAGTTTTAGCTCTCTCCAATTCTGCAATTTGGTGTGGAGTAATGCTCACAGAATATGACAGATTCTCTGCAGGTATAAATCCATTCCCTTCATGCCAATAGATTTATTCAATTACAATACCTTACAGCTGGGCCACTGTGCCCCTAAAAATCCCAGACTCGGCCAGACTCTCAGACTTGCACATTCTTTGAAAAAATATTCAGTTCCATCATTGACTTAAGCATATCTCAGCTTTTGGTGTCGATTTCACAAAGGTGTTGGAAAAAAAACAACAACCCATAGCCTTGATCTCTGGTAACAACCAAAGCACTATGTAAGTAATATCCTCTTTCACAGGTGAGATTAAATGCTATGCCTTTTTTCACACAGTTTTGATGAAATATTTTGTCTGACCACATCCAGTTGCGTCAGAGGCACAAAAGTCACTCAAACCATTGAATTCAAGAAAGATGTGTCATCAAAAGGAGAACTGGACGTAAGAACAGACTACAACCCCACTTGCAAGCTGAATGGCCCTTGTGAGAGCTACACACCACAAAATGTCCCAGCACTGAGCAGCAGACAGCATGGAGGATGGTAAGTTGGCAGCTCTTGGAGAAGAGAGGGAAGGTTAGGAATAGGGTGAGGATATTCAGCTGGGTGATGAGGCAACCAATGATCGCAGTGCTGGAAAAATTTTTTCACAATCTTCCCTATGAAATCATATCAAACATAGGGTAAATGTGATCAGCTTAACTTCTGCCAGCTGACAGTCTTTCAGGCCAAAGTCCTGTATTATTTTCTTTGAATAGGTTTCCTGTCTCAAATCACTTGCAGCAATTTCTTTACAATACGATAGCAACACTGAAATGGATATGTATGTATACACTGTACTTCCGTCAGTTAATTGGGACTCTCGCATTAAGTTTTTGGGAAGTCTGCAGAGTTTTTTTGGAGCTGATTTTAGTTCCCTTTTGATTAGTCATAATATGCACCATGTTTATCATGGCTAACTTCTAACAAGATGATAATTGGAAATATTTTTTCATAGGGTGTGATGACTGTGTCCTTGGAAGCCTATGTGGGCATCTCAGTCATTGCTGGGTATGAAGTTCCACAGATTATGGATGACTTTATCTAGAGATCACTAGGCATTTCCCATCTCTTCCCAGTTACTTTTCAGCAGGTGCAAACATGCAGACCACAGTTCTGGGAGCATCACTGTGCAACTTCAGCAGGCAAATTACAGAGACATATAAAACTTTGCAGGACCACAGTAAGAAAGCTAAAAGAAAAACAGCCCCAACATATCACTTCAGCACCATATTTGAGACACCCTTACCTACTCGAAGCTCTTGTCCAAAGACTGTTTTCTCTCCCAAAGCAGAGCAGTTCCACCTCCCGTACCGAAACTGGTACTGGCACTCATTGATTCCCATTTGTGCCCCTTCCCCGATCACAATGATGGCATCAGGGCGGCTCTGGCAGATCGCTCGCTGCCGAGGGGCCAGGCCTGGGATTTTGTTGCAGATGATATTAGCTCCTAAAGCCACCACAGATGACAAAGCTCTGAAGAAGGAAAAAAAAAAAAGCAGAAAGACACATTATAAATCAAAATTTAGGCCATTAATGGTTTTTGCCATGGGCTGCCATGTGGCACATAAGGTGCTGGGCAAAAGGGGAAAGGTGGGAAGTTGGGTTCCTATAATTATGCAGACTTATCCCAATCTCACTTGTCTGGCTGGTTGGAAGGTTGGAAATCTTGCAATAATTCCTGATCTGATTAGTGCCAGAAACAACAAACAAGTGGAATTTGGGCAGTTTTGCTTCCAGTCCTACACAGAGCCATCAGCTGATGAGATGTGGAAGGCAAGACATATCACAGAATCACAGAATATAGGAGTTGGAAGGGACCTCGAAAGATCAT